GCTAGGTGACTGGCAGAACAAGACTCAGGGTGGTCATTAACGCTCGTGGCAATCTGTGAATAAACTAACTCCTCAATAATGTGTTTGTTTAGAAAAAGGTGAGGGGAAAAAAACTCCCTGCACAATGTATTGATTGCTTTTGAACTGCATTTAGCAATTTCAGTCTGAGGATGGAACAGAATGTTGCACAACTGTGATGCTCTGCTTGTTAGGGGTTTTCAATTTGATACAGCGGAAAACTGACCATCCTATTATACTGGTTGATAGACTGAATAGTTACAGAAAGCTGCCAAACTGTCAAAAATAGATCAGGGAGGCCATAATGGAAACAGCTGAAATATCAAGTTATAACACACAACAGAAATCACACTTAGCAAAAAATAATCTTTCGGTTTGTTCATGTCCTATTGCTTTTTCTCCCCCCTGTTCTGTGATAGAAACAAATACTGTAATATGAACCAGCATGTGTTCCAGTTTTATTGCTAGCCACCTAAGGAATTAATGCACAACTAGGTTTATGTGCGTACCACATTCCAAATCAATGCTTCACAATCTTCTCTTAAATGCACAATTACTCCATTCAGTCTTGAATGTTTTAAACATTTTGACTGAATAACACACTTCACTTATGCTAGATCGATGTTAGTGTCAGGTTTTAGCTTGAATGATAACATAAGCATATAAAATTGGCAACAACAAAAATCCTAGGCAGTTACTGCAGCTTGTACTAGCAGTTCTACTGAACATACGATATTTAAGTCATAGAAGAATCATTTATGATAGTCTTGGACTAATCAGCCCAACATTCTCCAATTCCCAGGGGTCTGTATGATTTCTTTTTGATCTTCCCATCCTATTCTAATGAGATTTTTAATTGAACTTTATGGGTTCCTTTTAAGGACTGCAGCCATCACAATCCATCTAAACTGCAGTAAACTATTTGAAGTTTTCTTCACAAAAAGGTGAGCCATCTCCACCAAGTCCTTGGCATAATTTAAAGCAAAGATGTTGCATCTCTCAGCTGCTGCCGGCACCTTTTCCACCTTCTCATAAAGTTGAAGGTCAGTGTATGAATTATGTGATCAACCTAACTACAAAAGGAGACCTGAAGAATGCACACTCCAGAAATTAAGTGGGCAAGATCTGCAGTGTGAAATAACACTTTTTCTTAGGGAAACAAATCAGGGATATTAGAAATATCGACTCTCATAGCCTTTTTAAAAAGTCTGATTTCTAGTAACACTCCAATTCCAGATCCTCACAAGATCATGTTTTCCTATATTAGCAAAGACAATTTGGACTGGTGTCTGTACAAATTGTAAATAAGGTCATTTTATACAGTGCCTTTTTTCTAAAAAAAATGTTTAGGGGTACTCTCATTTCCCTACTCATATGGAAATACTGCCCTTCAATGAGGCCAAGCCTAAATTCACAAAATGTTTAGGGGTATGCGTCCCCCCACGTCCCCCCAGAAAAAAGCACTGATTTTATATATACTGGTTGCATTGTGTTTTGTGAATGCAATGAAATGCTTTGCAATAGCCCAATAATATGTATTCTTTCTGCAAAAAGCACTATACTAATTAAGCAATCTCTTGTGGGTCCATGGGCTCCAATGCCTATATCGTCCACATTCATGTCAATTCAGAGGACAAGCTCTAGGCGTGCAAAGGCATCCATTCATAGAGCTGTCTTCTTGATTAAAGAAGAGTTTCATGTATGCACTGAAATCTAGACTGATGGAAATAATTTTATATATTTTGTTTTAATGTTAAGTGCAGTATTTGCAAAACTTTTACAGTTAAATTTGATATTTATTTATTTAAGAGCATGTATAAAATGCTTAGCATTTTAAAAAATCTCTAAGTGGAATACTCTATGTACAATACAGAAACAATATCTAGTGAAACAAAATGCAACCTAAAACCAATGAGACAACAGCCTAAAAGCACATAATACAAAAATTCATAGACATAAAAAAAAAGAGTCTGATGTTCTAGATCTGGAAAAACATGGACAAAAAGAGAAGTATTTGCAATACATCTGAAGCAACTGCTGGTTCCTCTTCACATATGGTAGAGGGAAGGTCACGCCACGAATCAGGGGCAACAGCAGAAAATGCTTGTCTTTGAGTCATTATCCTACAATATTCTTGCATTGTTCTGCTCCTGAATAAGCTCACGTACCAGGGCAACGGCTGAGGACAAGATGGTTGGACAGTGTTCTTGAAACTACCAGCATGAGTTTGACCAAACTGCGGGAGGCAGTGAAAGACAGGAGTGCCTGGCGGGCTCTGGTCCATGGGGTCACGAAGAGTCAGACACAACTAAATGACTAAACAACAACAACCAGGGCAACCAAGGGCAATTCCATCCCCAAACTGGGCCCAAACCCAGAATGAAATGGGTTGAGATAATCAGTTTCCTCCAAGAGTATCTGCAACTGGACTGCCTCCACCCTTTCAAGTACCTTACCCATAAAAGGGATATTAATGACCAGGGAGTAGTTGTCAAGTTCTTCAGGGTCCAGGAAGATCTTCTTTACTAGTTAGCCACCCTACCACCCCCCTTCAAGGAACCAGGCACCTCACTCACCCACACACCAAGATGAGTTAACCACTCCCTGGACCTACCTGGCCAGCCCCTCTCAGCTAGCTGGCCCACTACTCAAGGATGTAATGTAGGCAGAAAAGTAAGCCTCATCTGCCACCTTCACCGCCATGTAGGAGGCACGGCTCTGTGCTCTGATCAATTTTGCACTTTGACTCTTACACCACTTGTCCTCTAGCCTTTCCCCTGGAAAACAAGGAAGCCTACCAGGCTCCACAGTTTCAGAGGGGGCCCCAGGAGCAATCAGGTCAACAGCCTGACACTCTTCACTATTTCATAGAAACACCAAAGGCATTGAGAGGATCACCAGCTTTGGTTTGTAGAAAATCCTCCATAGCATTCAGGAATCCCTGGGATTCCATACCTTTCCAGGGGTGAGTAGCATTCGGGAATCCCTGGGATTCCATACCTTTCCAGGGGTGAGTCGGCCTAATGGGCCCCACGCCCTTGTAGATGGGGATTGGAGCTGTAAAACCAACATTTCACCAGACAATGGCCTGTCTATGATAATGGATAAAATTCACCCCTCTCCTATTCAGCCAACTCCACTCACACCGTGCATCAAGGCTGTGTCCTACCCTATGATGAAAACTTGTGACAACGCCATGGTTGCCATGAAATCCTGAGCTGGTATAGTCAAGATAGGCTTGGCATGGATATTGAAGTCTCCCAGAACTCTCCCTGGGGTTCTCCAACACTACACTTCAGCCCGCCTCAGCCAGCTAGGCCCACCTCAGGCAACAAAGTGGATGGTACAACACCAACAGCTCCAATCTGTCCTGCTGGTCAACACAAGGCACAGGTCCTCAAAGCCTACCTCAGAATTGAGAAGCTTCATAGTGAGCATGAAGGAAATTTTATGGACTACAGCAAGTGCTGTATGCTAAGGTGGAGATGTCTGAATTAGCTTCATACTCTCTCTATATGTAGCTTCAGCTTCTTTCAATCTATGCCCAAGCTGTGTAACGGTGGAAGAGACTCATGATACTAGCAGTCATATTGAGTGCAAATGAGTCTTGAAGGTAAAGGGCAGGAGCAACATACCACACAAACCTTCCCATTCTCACTCAGAATCAGTTGCTACTAGCTGTTCCAGGACTCAGCTCTGCCAAGTTGCCCCACATGACCAGTACCCATGCACCCCAGACTCCAGTGTTTGAATGTGGGGTATCATGACTCAAAAGCATTAAAAAAATATTGCTTTCCAGGTTCTAGGACTGAGCTCTGGCATGGAAAATTCTGGTTCAGATTTAGCCCTGGCTGCTTCTGCCTTTCTTTGGGCAACATAGTGATGGATGGATGATTGATTGATACCGCTGAACCATTAGCTCTGGTGCTAGTACACGAAGTTCAAAAGGCTGCAGGGCTTTGGATCAGTTGTTGCATCAAAATGCAATTAAATGCTGCAGAGAAAATATATGATGGGGATGCTGCTACTATTTAGGGGCTTTCCACCCCCATAAAGGGGAGACGCTTTCAAATGCAAACCAAAGCAAAGCATTTCAAGGCCTGAATCCTTCCCACCCCCCCTTCCCTGTCCTTTGATAATGAAAGCAAATCAGTAAGGTCATTCTAAAACTTTGTTGCCAGCACCTAGATAGCTTCACACTTACAACATAGGTCACAATAACAAATGTCAGCCAATTCTCATGCCAAGGTAATAATATGAAATTAAAAAATATCTGAGGCAATTGTCAGGCACACGTCACTAATGGGGCAAAAATGACTAAACTAATGTATAATTATATCCCTAGCTTGCTACAACTAAAAGGCTGTGTTCTACATTGCCTAAATTGGTGAGAGTCTTTAATGGAGCTATGCCACAGGAATACGGAGACAATGTGACTCGCTGTGCGAAGGAGGCTGGAACGTGCCTCTCTCCCAAAATCCAGAACCTGACACATTGGGGATCCAAGTCAACCTTGTTCCTATATGAGTGCAGAGGGCATTTTGCCCTTTCACACCATATGAGCTCATGTAACAGGAACGGTTTGCAGGTAATGAAACAAAATGTGTTACCTCCGCACCACCCTAATGCTATTAAGAATCTAAAAGACGATCTCATCTCTGAGTGGGACTAGTACCTATCCAAAAAGCATAAGCCTTTTATTTCATTGAAGAAAAAGAAAGGAAAATGAACTAAATTTGTACAGGTGGATGCATTAAAATAAATGCAGCACTCCTATTTCAAATAAATGATGGGGGAAATAAATCATATTAAACTGGTTTATGCATTAATGCTGATTAAAAACACTTACTGACCTTATTACTCATGGGTAGAGTAGTTTTCACAGCAGATATATTTAATCTAATGACATTTAGCCCGCAAAGCTTTCTATCTAAAACCACCATCTTCCATCAACTTTATTTTAAAAGTTGACATGAACTTACAGGATTGCTTCTCATTGCTCCTCCCACAGCTCTGGCTGCCTTGCTGTTGCCTGCCAGGTCCGCTAATTGCTTGTAAGAAACTGCCTCTCCAAATTTCACATCTCTCAACAGGGTCCACAACACTTCTCTGGTGAATGAAGCTGAAAAGGGAAAATAAAAGAAAAATAAAAAAGGAAGAAGCAACACAATGTTCAGAAGCAAGGCTTTTTTTTTTAATCTACCCAAGATAAAAATAGTCAGGAAGACTGACATTTAAACTAGGGTATGAAGAGCAACATTTTCTCTTTCGAATTAGCACACCAATCAGTTCTATTATTGTGTTCTATATTTAAATTCATGATTATTAGAGACTGTGCTCCAAGTAATTGATCACTATTAAAAAGGCATTCAGTGCTTTGATTTTCCTATATTTTTAATTTGCTTCCAGTACAATTATCCTGTTAACACATACAATGTGCTTTCCCATTAAATTGGCAGAGTATAAATTAGCATACAGTCAAATTAAAAAAAAAAAAAAGAGGGGGAGGAAGGAAATAACTGGCGGTACTTATTTTATAAAGCTTGTATTTCCTAATTTCAAACTTCAGCTGGGTCACACTATAAAGGAAGCACTACAGCCAGCAGACCGTATTACCCTAGCTGACTGTTTTTAGTTTTTATTTTACCCCCAGCAAAGACCCTCTAGCTACCATTTAGCATTCTAGATATCAGAAACTGCCTGTGTCTCTGAAAATTTGCTGCACATTTAAATGGGGGAAGAAGAAAAAAAACGCCTGTTAGAAATGAAAGACTTATTAATTTTCTGTCTAGTTACACTTGATTTTCATATTGTTCTTAATAAGGCATGGAGGGAAGCAAAAGAACATGGCAACCTGCTAACGTAGCTGCTGGCACATAATGAGACATTCATCTATGGCAGGGGTTAGCAAACTTTTTCAGCAGGGGGCCGGTCCACTGTCCCTCAGACCTTGTGGGGAGCTGGAATATATTTTGGAAAAAAATAATATTAACGAATTCCTATGCCCCACAAATAATCCAGAGACGCATTTTAAATAAAAGCACACATTCTACTCATGTAAAAACATGCTGATTCCAGGACCGTCTGCGGGCCGGATTTAGAAGGTGATTGGGCCAGATCCGGCCCCCGGGCCTTAGTTTGCCTACCCATGATCTATGGAGATTAAAAATTGCCTGTGGCTGACCAGGCATGATCCAACTACAGGCACTGTTGCAGCAGATGGCGCTTTGCTGAGTTATCTCCAATCTGAAACTGTGATGCACCTGCGCTGCCCAAGTCTAACGCACATAGACCTACTTTAAACATTACAGTGGTACCTTGGTAAGTCGAACGGCTTGGCACCCGAACAAATCGGCTCCTGAATGCCACAAACCCGGAAATGAGTGTTCTGGTTTGCGAACGTTTTTGCGGAAGCCGAACGTCCTGTGCGGCTTCTGATTGAGTGCAGGAAGCTCCTGCAGCCAATCAGAAGTGGTGCCTTGGTTTTTGAACTGTGCAAGAATACCTTAGGAGCTGCTTTTCTTGTAGAGTCATCCCAATCAGCTGCTGAAATGTTTGAAGGCCTATAACCAAAAGGGTTCTGCCAAGCTGGTGTGTTGGAAAAATTCACGTTACTGACTGTGTCCACATGGGCCCAGAGAGTGTCTTTGGAAAAGAGAGCATTAGTCCACCACTTTTCCTTCTCAGAAGTTGAAACAAAAAAGAAGAGTTTGATGCACTATGCCTAGGTAGAAACATAACAGCCTCATTCACCTCACTATGGTGAGAAAATGGGGAAATTTCACATCTGCTCTGAGCTGCATTTCCCCATGTTTCTTCCTCCACCTTGCATCCAAGCAGAGAGCTAAAAAGGCACACTGAATCATCGAACACGCAAACTAGAGAGTTCACCTTACCATGGATCACCCCCCCCCCCAGAAAAAAACCTTCTACTTGAAAGACAATGGCAGTGAGGAAGCTCAAGCTGAAATGGCAAGCAGTGCTTTTGAGGCTAACAAACAAGGTTTTCAGGAGGGTAAATTACTTTTCTATTCTGTCAATATAACAAAAAAGTCATTCACACAATACGCAGTCTGGAAAAAGTATTCTCTCTTTGCTCTGAAACCCACCTACTTTTATGTTTGTTTTAAATAATATTTTAAAAAAATCACTTCTTAACTGAACAGAATGATAATCACGTCATTGAAAAAAAATCTGTTTAGCTTTTATTATAACATTAAGCAAATTAAACATCAGCATAATCCAGGTGATACTAGAAAAGGGTCATCAAAGAAATTAACTTTGTTGTTCATTAATTTACATGGATTAGTAGAGGGCGAAGAGATAGCAAATCTGCTCTAGTTTTTTATGATATAATTTCAAACTGTACACCATTTGTGGCACTAGGGTGACTTTGGGGTTAATCAGACTGATTTGTCCTTTTAATTGCTTTCTATTCAAAGAAAATTCATTAGATAATGTTCTCTTCAAAATTCATGAATCAATTTAACTGAAGAAACCATATTAACAGCTTTGGGTTCATTAGCACATGGAGTTGTGTTACTAGCTGATTGCTAGGAGAGTTTCCTTAGGCAAACAGATTTTGTTTACTGTCATTTCTTTAGAAAGGCCTATTTTGAAATCCAATTGCAACAAGGGAAGAGTGGATTCCCCCCATTCCATTTCATTATTCTTCTGTGGGTTGGGCTGTGCCCCCACGCGCTGCTCTGCCTGCCTTTTGATTTTGCAAGGTGAATTTTGATAATTAATTTTGGAAACAGGGGGCTCTTATCAGTTTGCGCTTGACTTAAGCTTTCCATCCTTTCATGTGATGCATACTGGGAAATGTAGTCTTGCAGCCACCCACAGCAGGCTCAGCTGATGGCAATTGCCCCCCCTCCGCCCCCCCTGGCAGTCTCCCTGTCAGGTTAATGACTCCTCGGGGCAGGTCCTGAAGATATATTCTGTGCGGCACAAAAGCAGTGCACCACCACAGCAGAAGCCAACTGGAATCAAAAGCAGGCTGATGTTATAAAAGCAGCTTGCGTAAAAATGTTAGGAGTGGAACATTAAAAGACAGCAAACACAGGGCAAGAGCAAAGGAACAGTTCTTGCAACGAAGTAAGCAAGCGCCCCCCAAACTTCTGTACAATGACTAGTTAATCTGGAATCAGGGGTGAGCAGTGAGACAGACAAGTTTATGGATGATACCAAACTATTTAGGTTAGTAAAAATCCAGGTGGATCTCTACAGAGAGACTACAAAATGACCAGTGGATAGTCATTGTAAGTAAATGTAAAGCAAGATTTGGGAAGCTTTTTTTTAAAGCCCGAAGTCTGCATTCACTTGGGCCCAACCCTCACCGCAGGAGGCTGCATGCCAGTGGTGGAGCGTGGCCAACAAAAGAGTGGACAGGGCTGGGGAGGTATGTTATTTGGTACTGCTCACATTGATCCAGAGCAGACTCAAAAATGCATACCTAACAAGGTAGTGGGAGGTGCCACCCCCCACTCATATGCTCATACATGCCCCATGCACACACCACTTGCACATTTTCAGGCGCTAACAGAGAATTCAGTGTGTGTGTGTGTGACGGTCTCAGAGCTGCTTCCCTTAAAATAACTACAGTGGTACCTCGGGTTAAGTACTTAATTCGTTCTGGAGGTCCGTACTTAACCTGAAACTGTTCTTAACCTGAAGCACCACTTTAGCTAATGGGGCCTCCTGCTGCTGCCGCGCCGCTGAAGCACGATTTCTGTTCTCATCCTGAAGCAAAGTTCTTAACCTGAAGCCCTATTTCTGGGTTAGCGGAGTCTGTAACCTGAAGTGTATGTAACCTGAAGCGTATGTAACCCGAAGTGTATGTAACCTGAAGCGTATGTAACCCGAGGTACCACTGTATTGTGTTTGCTGCCTACAGGATGAAATTAACATTTCAGATACATTTTTAAATGATGCTTGTGCATGTTTATAAAATCATTCTCTCTCTCTCTCTCTCTCTGTGTGTGTGTGTGTGTGTGTATAAATGTATCTGAAATTTTAATTTCATCCTGTAGGCAGCAAACACAATAATTAGTTTAAGGCAAGCAGCTCTGTGACTGTGCCAAATATTTTATTACTAAATTCTCTGCTAGTGCCTGAAAATATAATCTACTCAAAATGAGGTGGCTGACCTTCCCAAATGTTCAATATGGATGCAAATATTGGCCATGGCTAAATATATAGGAAAAATATGCACTGATATCCACATTCTCTGTTTATAGTCCAAGGTAATGAAGAAACTAAGGACATTCCACTGAACTCATACAAACCTATGAGCAATGCAAGATCCACTTGTTACATCTTTTCCCCCTTATCTGCCAAGCGTTGCAAGACTGCCCCACCCCAAACCCGCCAAGATGGGAAATTTATGGTTAAGCCTAGATTTTGTTTTCCCTGCAAGGTCTGGGTAGGGCAGCTTTATAAAACTGGGATGCAGAAAAACAGTTCACCCCCCAAGGGCAGAAAGGGTTCTACCTGCTGAGCAGTAGGTTAGATGAGTGTTCAATGAATGCATGTTTCAATGACTGCTGTTAACATAAACAAATCCATTGGTAATGCATTGAAGATATACACCAGAAGGTCTTCAAAATGCTCCTAACTAGCTTTCATGTATTACTTTACGACAAAGTAAGATTCTTCTGACGCAGAGATTCAGTGTAGCTGTACATAGGCAGTACCCTTCTTCAATAATTGTTGTTATATCCAGGGACACTTGCTTTCCCAATTACCGTATTTTTGTGTGTATAAGACTAGCCCCCCCAATAACGTCAAAAATCAGGGGATGTCTTATACACAGGGCCACCCCCCATTTTCTTAAATCTGAGTCCCCCAAAATAAAAGGTAAAGGTAAAGGGACCCCTGACCATTAGGTCCAGTCGTGACCAACTCTGGGGTTGCGGCGCTCATCTCACTTTATTGGCTGAGGGAGCCGGCGTACAGCTTCCGGGTTATGTGGCCAGCATGACTAAGCTGCTTCCGGCGAACCAGAGCAGCGCATGGAAACACGGTTGACCTTCCCGCCGGAGCAGTACCTATTTATCTACTTGCACTTTGACATGCCTTCGAACTGCTAGGTTGGCAGGAGCTGGGACCGAGCAATGG